ACCCCCTCTTACATCCTCCACTATATTCCCAATAGGATTGTCCTCCAACACTTCATATTTGGCATGACCATGGCATAAAAACGTTACAGGATTTATTAACCCCCCTAGGTCACTACAAAACATTGCCAGACCTTATAGGGACGCATCACATATCTTTCAAACACTTCCTTCAATATGGTCAAATTTACCACTTTATCAAATCTCATCTACATCTCTCCACTCTAACCCGATACCAGCTCCCCCTTCTCTAAGCTGTTGGCGCACCAATCCTGGAAACTCTCTCTCAAACAAACATACTCCATAATTCTAGGGCTGGTAATGATTAAAATTTTCATGTTCGATTAATCTAAATTTTTGTAATCAATTATAACGCACATACAGATCCAACTACATTGGCCTATACACATACAGCACAGCAATGAAGTAATAAAATGAACTAGGATCACACTAATCCAGCATGTTATTAAAGTGACATTAAACCCACAGATTTTTTTAACATAAACCAATACTATAATGTGTGCCTTACTGTAATCCATGGTTGTTTCCCTTCTCTTTGCTGCTCTTCCTTTTAAATCCTTAACTCTTCTCATGCTGGGGGAGAACTTCCCTTTGCAGCTGAGTGCCTCTTCCTGTAGTGCTGGCTCAGGTAGTGGACCTTCACACAGACACCATGTATCCATTTCAGAGACAAGGCAGTCTGCTGCAAAACAGAAGAAGTTCTGCCCAGCATGAGAAGAGATACGGATTTAAAAGGAAGAGCAGCAAATAGAAGGGAAACTACCATGGATTACAGTAAGGCACACATTACAGTATTGTTTTATGTTAAAAAAATCTGAGGGTTTAATGTCACTTTAATCTCACGTGCCCCACTCAATATGGTATCGCTTGAGTGGGGTAACTCAGAATAATATCGTGCTGGATTACTAATGTATTTACATAGTATAGTAAAACAGCAAAGCCCTAAGGGTGATTTAAACATAAGTATTCGCTTTATATTTGAAGTAGCAGCACCTGTCCATTCCATTTCATGTAAGGACCTGATTGCAACATAATATCAGTACATTTCAATGGGCACATTTCTAGGAGTGAGATGGGGGGTTAATGGAGAGCCACATAGTCAGGGCTTGAAAAATTTGATAGTGTCTCACCAGTCAAAAATTTCACCAGTCAGCATGACCAGACTATATCCTTGCAATTTATGTTAAAAAAGTTTGGGGACAGATAGAGCTTTCTTTTGGAGGTCACCACGGGGGGTATTTTTTCTTTTACTATATAATAAAAAGTACCATAAATGTAGAAAAAAACAAAAAAGTTTCCCTACGTTATGTTATAAAACATTTATTCTTACCCGTATTTTTAGTACAGGTAAGAAAATCGGAAAAAAAACGCCCATAGGCGACGATTAAAACGCTTTTACTGTTCATCAGTTTAGTGTTATCAGTGATTAAAGGAGAACTATGGGGTTAGGGATTTTCCCCATAGTTCTCCTTAGGGTAATGGGAGGACACAAACTAGCATCCTCCCATCACCCTAAGCTCAGTATATAGGGAGCTGCAGCTCGCGGTATACTGAGCTGCCGCAGCTGAAGCGGTTCCCGACAATTATGTCTGGATCCGCCCAGCTGCGTGAGTGACAGCTGGCTCTGCCTATGTAGAGGCAGAGCCAGCTGTACCTGCCCCTCCCCATCCGTTCCGCCAGTCAGCGCTGGCGGATTGGAGCAGGGTGAATCCAGCCCCTCCCCTGTCACGGCAGAGAGCCGTGACAGGATCGAGATGTGAGCGAACGCCGGTATGTGTTCGCTCACTTCCCGATCTACTAAGCCGAACTGTGACAGTCTCATTGTCACAGGTCGGCTAGAACTATGAGGTGAGTGAAAAGCACTCACCTCATAGTTCTCCTTTAGGCTGGGTTCCCACCTAGGCGTTCGAAATATGCGTGTATGACGTGGGTGCATGTTTTAACCGTGATTTGCAGCCCTCAAAACGCGCGTCAAACGCACGTTTACGAGGGCTATCCGGCTGTATCCTAATGGATACGCGCGGAAATACGCCCCAAAGAAGCTCCTGTAGTTCTTTGGGTGTAGGGCGTTTTTCAGCACGTTGCGACGCGCTGAAATACGCCCAAGTGAGAATCATGTCCATAGGAAATAATGGGATTTCATTTGCTGGGCGTTTTACAGCGCGTCGATCAGCGCTGTAAAACGCCCAGGTGTGAACCCGGCCTTAATGGCTCTAAAATTATTGCTCTCACTCCGACGTTTGCGGCAATATGCAACATGTGCGGCATGTAGGCGCACATGACGCATATATGCGTGTGTATGTCGGGGGCGGGGACTTAAAAAAAGTTTACAAAAAAATAAATGTTATGCTTATTTTTTTTAATGAATCTTTCATTTTTGTATTACTTTCTTTTTTTTTTTTTTACACACACAACTTTATTGCTATTACATGGGGGGCTAAGAAGCATGTAAATAGCCTTCTTTAACCTCTCTTACTAATTACCCTAGTACATTGATACAATTACCCGTCTTAATGTTAGAATATTGCATTCCCCACATATCTTTAGAGAAATGGCCACACTAGGCAATTTAAACTTTAGCCGACCTGTACCAACGAGATAGCCTACTTAGTTTCCCTCATTTACAGAATAGATTTCATATTCTGGTCAAGAAATTTTACCAATACATTTCCTCCATGAGCACCCTCTCCCTACTACAGTGAAAGTCGACAGTTCTATATATAATTTATTCCATAAGGAACTATGGGTCCAAAAGGGTTTTACTTTATTCTATAACAAGCTGGGAGATTTACAAAGTCTGCGATGATGTCTAAACGGGAGAAAGATTTAGGAACCTCCTACACGGACGAACAAGGGCAAGCAGCAATTAAAAATGACCTATACTGCATCAGACTGTGTTAATCATTGGGAGCTACACATGCCATACAAATTGTCTAAATTGAAAGAAGGGCAATTTTCTCTATGTTGGAGAAAATGTGGGGCTGTGAGCTCCTTGAGGCACGTATTTTGGTATTGCAAATCTTTAACAACCTTTTGGAAGCAAATTTTCAATCTCATTTCTGAGTTAGCTTCCTGTGTAGTCTCACCAAATTCTGCTTTGGCCTTGCTACAATTTTTCACCCGATTCTAGAACCCTAATATGTTCACCCTTAAAAATAGTAGATTTTCTGCTTTCTACAAAAAATGGGAAGGCTGGATTAAACACCCTCTCTATAAATCCTAATTTTAATGATTAGATCAAATACTTGATAGTTGACATGACTGGTGATCTTTTTCTATACCTTATTATTTTTGCTCTTACTTTACCTTCTCAGTTTATATTATACCTTACTACCAGAGGGTATACGTATAGGCGGATTTAAGGTCATAACTGTAGAAATAAGGTGTGAGGGGTAGACCCCCAAGACCTTGCTTCAAGGTCTTACATTCTTTCTACTGTTTGACTCATGCCGATCTTGTTTTGTATGGTCTATATCTTATTTACTTACACTTTGGCTCCTGCGTCAGCTAATTGAACGTTCTGGTGAACTATGCTTTATCACTTTCATTTTGAAATATCTAATTTAAAAAAATATTGAAACAGAAGTCCCTGTTCACCCCTAGGCATTTTGACGCTCAAAGCCAAGCGTGATGAAACGTTCAACACAAGAAGTCCCATTCATTCCACACACCTGCGAGTTTTGTCACAAGCTGCAAACTGCCGAATGCTAAAGTACATATGGTTTTTTTTTTTGGCAGATTACACCACGTTGGCCGCATGGACTTTAATGGAAACTCCCGGAAAAGTGCAAGAATTGCGCACATTTCTGTACACATTTGTGAGTTTTTTGCGCACGTTCATTCACTGCAAGGCATTTCAATCTGCTCAATTAGTCTTCCTGTTCATGCATCTTAAGGCGCGCAAAAATGTGTAACACACACTAGACAAGATGCTAAACAAAACGTGCGCCAACATGCACGATAACACTAATGCCTAGGTGTGAATGAAGCCTAAGAGAGATATTACCAGGATCTGCGCTATGGGAAAATCTCACTAACTCATTGCACAAAGCTGAACCGCAAGAAACCAGCTAAAAACTCTCATGGTACAGGACACTAAGCGAGTACTTAAAAAGCGTATTATGATAATGACCTGGATACGAGTCCAAAGAGCAAGTGGAAAGTGTGAAAAAAGACTGTCCTTCAGTGTAACATGGTTAAGTCAACAACCTGTTATTGTGAGATATACTGCCAGAATTGGGGAAACAGTCTACACAATAACAGATAGTGAGTAATCTATTAGATTCCTCTCATTCACACTGCAGACATGAACATAATACATTTATGCATATATGGATGGCCAGGGAACATACTACATAAATCATTGTCCTGAGACTACAGTCATTTGTTTGCTAGCTTTTAGTTCCCCCCTCACTATTCTAGAACGACTAAAAGAAAACACCAAATTCCATACAAGTTTCTGAAGAAAACTAAGGCTAAAATGTCAAAACGAGGATCTCGCTGCAATACACACTTGTTTTCAATAATTAAAGTACATCAACAGGCTGTGATTTGATAGTATAAACACCAAACTCCGTTCCCATGTAATATACAAGTCTTCATTACCTAAAAAAAAAAAATCCTTTACCTACTCTGAGTCAAACTCTCCTTTATTTGTGCCTCACATGCCCCTCCCTCCCATACACTGCAGCTCACAGTGGGATGGTTTGTGCTGTCAATCTAGAAAGAAGAGGACAGGGCGGAAAAAGCTTGATTGACAAGCTACGTTTTTGGGAATCAGCTGTGATAATGTTTTTTGTCATGATCCCAACAAATCCTTCTCATCCCACTGTTGGTGAACTTCACTGGCAGGATTAACAGGTATTTGTGAGACTTTGCCGACAAAAGGTAAAATTTTAACTGCAAATGCATTTTTATTTTTTACTAACTGGAGGCCGCTACTTTATTCGTCTAATAGAAATAGAGCTTGCCTGTGCTGAGCGCTCCAGTTTTCTCAGTTTCTTATCAAGCAGTTCAAAGATTATTTTTGCAATCTGAAGCCCAGGATCCTGGCATCTCGGATATCCCTCTACTAGGGCATGACTGAGCATGTAAAAAGTTACTTTCTGCCTTACAGTGACCGCATTCTTTTCCACAATTTGCACCAGATCCTCCACCTAAAAGGAAAAAAAAAAAATACAAAGACTAAATTAGAATGATTTTTAAAAAAATGGTTTATGCTGCTATGATAGAAAAAGAAAAGCAATACCAAATCAGATAAAGATTTTTTTTATGAAGTAAAAGGAAGTTTTCCTTGTGAGCTTCAATTACAGACTTGTTTTTGAAGATACAGACTCCAGGGCCTTTATATTTATCAATTTATAAAAGGAAATAAAGCTCATTATTTAACAAAAATAAAAGTCACATAACTACTTCTCAGAACAGTGAGTTGTGTACTGGAACAGAAAGCGGGACCCAGCCTACCATGCACTCTGCATCATGTTATTTATGGTTAACATCTTGTCACACAATGCAAAGCCAAGAGGATGTCAGGCTCAGCTTTAGGTTGTACCTGGGGTGGCTATTTTCTGGCAATTATGTTCGATTTTCTTACATTGGAAGAGTTAACAAGGACATTGTTTACCCAAGAACATACCAAAATATATTAGAACAGAAACATGCTTTAAACAGCTGAATTAAATATCCAGGGAAACATAGGAGGTGGTATATTTGCCTTCTCATCTAACAAAACCAATAGATGCCATTCCAATACACTAGGTAAATATTAAAAAGGAATGGCACTGCATACCTGACAATGATAAGTTATACCCTTTTGTTTCAACAGCAGATGGGGCAATTGTCCATCCTTGCTAATACTACAAAATGAATGCAATTATTATAAATCAAACATTTATAAACACAGAGAACATACCATAATTAAAAGGGAGGAAAAATCCATTCCAGTCATGTTACTTGATAATAGGTGAGCTAACTTCATATTTATTACACTAAAAGAGCTTTCAGATTTAGCCTTCTGTAAGCCATCATCCAGTGCTGAGGATAACAGAAAAAAATAATTTGTATTATGTTACGTACATGTGTAAATCAACAAGAACAAATGCAACCCCCCCCCCCCCCAAAAAAAAAATCCTAGAACTGCCAAGGCCACTACTAAGGCCTATCATGAGAAATTATATTTTGATATTTGTAAAAACAGTTACTGCAGAATGAAATATCCTTCATTACTATCTCCTCTAACATATCAAAGTTACTCTTAACCACTTGCTGTCCAGAGCAATTTCTTACTATTTGTGCACAGGATAAAATAAATCTTTGGCTAGAAAACAGCTTCAGACCCCCAAACAATTATCTATTTTCTGAAAGCAGGGGCCCTGTAGAATAAAAAAATGTAGTTGCATTTTTTTATGTTGCGCTTGAATTTACACAAATGTTTATCAAACCGGTATTTTTAAGATAAAATACACTAAAATAAAATTTAGTGCACAGAAACAAAATACCCAATTTTTGGGAAAATATAAAAGATGGAGTCACGCTGGGTAGATAGATTCCAAACATGTCAAGCCTTAAAATTGTGTTCACCCATAAAAAACCACAAAAAACTACAACACCCCAAATTTCCCATAGGCGACACAAAAAGCTTTTACTGCTCATGAATTTAGTGATAACAGTGATTGATGGCTCTAGAATTATAGCTCTCACTCCCGACATTCGTGACGATATGCAACATGTGTGGCACAATTTTCGTGCCACACGTTACATATCGTCACGAACGTCGATGTGTGTTTGCGTTGTATGTGTGTTCAACGTGGGGGGGGGGGGACTTTAAAAAAAAAAAGTTGCATTTTTATTTTTTATATGTTACTTCAAATTTTCTTTTTACATTTAACTTTATTGCCATCACATAGGGGACTAAGAAGCCTCCAAAGAAATAGCAAATATAATGCGACAGGTCCTCATTATGGAGACATCAGGGGACCCGAAAGAAGCTAATAATGCAGAGATCTGCTTCGCCAGCTTCTTCGCCTGGCTCTAAGAGCCAGAGAATGTAAACAGTGACACCAGAAATATGTAATATAAAAGGGGCAATGTATACACACATACACACCTGAACAGAATAAAAATCTAAGTCCAATATTTACTATGACTACCCTTTGGCTTCAAACCATCAATTCTTACACAAAATCAGGAATTTTGTAGGATTAGAGTCAGGTGTATGATTAACCAATTATACCATGCGGGTGCCAACATCAATTTCATACGTAGGTTGAAACAGTCATTAACGGAAACAGCTGTCTAGGAGGCTTCGAACTGTGTGAGGAACAGCCAAACTCTGCTACTAAGGTGAGGTTGTGGAAGACAGACTTGTGTCACAGGTCATACACCATGGCAAGATTGAGCACAGCAACAAGACACAAGGTAGTTATACTGCATCAGCAAGGTCTCTTTGAGGCAAATATTTCAATCTCTTCTGAAGCACATAGAAACAGGCAACGTTGAGGACTGTAGAAGCAGTAGTCGGCCAAAGAAACAATGCAGCAAATGAAAGACAAAGCTTACTTCCCTTCTACATCGGAAGATGTCCAGCAGTCCCATCAGCACCGAACTGGCAGAAACCAGTGGAACATGTACACTCATCTACTGCCCAGAGACGTCTGGCCAGAAATGGTCTTCATGGCCAAAAAGCCATACCCCCCGATGTGGAAACAAGGCTAAGCAACTCAACAATGCTCAAAAACATAGGAACTGGTATGCAGAAAAATGGCAGCAAGTGCTCTGGGGTGAGGAGTCAAAATTTGAAATATTTGGCTGTAGCAGGAGGCAGTTTGTTCGCTGACGGGCTGGAGAGTGGTACAATAATAATTGTCTGCAGGCAACAGTGAAGCACGGTGGAGGTTTCCTGCAAGGCTGGGGCTGCATTTCTGCAAATGGAGTTGGAGATTTGGTCAGGATCAATGGTGTCCTCAATGCTAAGAAATACAAGCAGATACTTATCCATCATGCCATACCATCAGAGAGGCTTGTGATTGGCCCCAAATTTAGTCTGCAGCAGGACAACGACCCCAAACATACAGCCAATGGCATTAAGAACTAACTTCAGTGTAAAACAATAAGGAGTCCTGGAAGTGATGGTTTGGCCACCACAGAGCCCTGATCTTAATATCGAGTCTGTTTGGGTTGGTCACCACACCAAATGTTGATTTGGATTTCCCCTCTGTTCATTTACTTTCTATTTTGTAAATGACTGATACACTTATATATATATATATATATATATATATATATGTGTAACAAAATCAATTTTTTAAACTGAAAAAAAAAGGCCGA